CCTTCGTTCTCACTCTGCTCTGCATCAATACATTTTATCATTGAGTTTAGTGATAAAGCACATGAAGTATTTACTATCCAAGGAGCTTTTGAATACAAAGTGCCAGAAAAGAGTTGAAATATTCTGTTGAGGAAGTCTGTGAAGATAGGGATACAGGAATTACTTCACTCCCATCCATACTTCTGCTCTGATGGTTTCAAGATTATCCTTGAGACATTCAAGATCCTTTTAGGAGACTACAAATGCTTGCCATTGGCTCACAGGCTTTGTATTCTGCAAATACATCTCACAAAATTGCTAACAGTAACAGGAATTATGTGTGTGTGCATGAGCACACCTGAAAATAATTCTCATACACATCTTCAGAAAGCCAACATAATATTAGGACACACTGGTCCAACTTTAGGCCAAATACTGGCAGCATTCTAGTTCTGACTTCACACACTATTTTCAAAGCACTGTAAAACATTCATTATAAATAGGCATTTAGTGAGATTTTACGGTAAAACATTTTGCAGAATATTTAATTAATGAGCTTGGCTGCTAGCCAGCTTTCCCAAATATCTTGTGATTAGCTACTTTGTTCTCTTTAAACATGTTAACAGATGTAGCTCTCCCAACTATTAGCTTCTTTGGGAATTCAGAGATGGTGAGAGAGAATTTTCAAACATTTGAAAAGTGCTACCATGGAAAAAATGAATCCTCCATGCTATCCCTAAATGTTCTCTTCTCACTAGCAGATCTAGTGCTTGTCAAACCCCCAGATGTTTTCTGGAAATATTTCAAGGTCACTTGAGAACACTGGTTAGATTCCCTTGTGGGCATCACTTAATTGAGACTTCTTAGTGTTTGCCCCATCACAATAGACCCTGGTTTTCTGCTCAACTTGCTCTCTAATTCATCTTCCTAAGGATGCCTGTTTTAATCTTTCCACTGCATTTTAAAGATTGCTTTTGTTTCATTGATTGAATGAATTCTGACCGTCTGCTCCCATTTATCTATTCATTGATTTGACACCTTTGAATATAAAATACATCAAAACAAACCAATGAGGTTTTACAGATTAAAAATGGAAGGCTTCTGTTTGGAAAATAAGACAGGGCGACAAGATTCAGCAGTCCATCTGTGTTTGAAAGACAAAGGTCACTCTTTTGAAGACCACAAAGTCCACATTCTGGACAAAGAGGATCATTGGTTTGAAGAGGGATCAAAGAGGCCATCTACATTAAGACTGAACAGCCCTCTCTCAACAGAGGAGGAGGGATATGGCACCACCTATTTCCTGTTGGGGGGACGTGGTGGTCAGTGGCTAAGACGCAGAGTATGTTGATCAGAAAGGTTGGCAGTTCGGTGGTTTGAATCCCTAGCGCCACATAACAGAGTGAGCTCCCGTTACTTGTCCCAGCTTCTGCCAACCTAGCAGCTTGAAAGCATATAAAAATGCAAGTAGAAAAATAGGGACCACTTTAGTGGGAAGGTAACAGTGTTCTGTGCGCCTTTGGTGTTTTGTCATGCCGGCCACATGACCATGGAGACGTCTTCGGACAGTGCTGTCTCTTTGGCTTTGTAACGGAGATAAGCACCACCCCCTAGAGCCAGAAACTAACCTTTACCTTTACTTTATTTCCTTTACCTTATAAAGGGAACCTTTACCTTATTTCCTGTTTACAACACAGGCCTTTCAGCAGTTCCAAGAACATTCCACACCCATTTGTAGCACTATTCACGTGACCACCCGCCCAGGACAGAGACAAACCTCCAAATGGCCTTAGCAACTGTGCTAATGACCAGATGATCACAAGGAATGTAAGTCCTTCCATCCTCCACCACCATTTAGTCAGAACTGAGGAAGCTTCCTGGATGAAAACAAAACCAAGTCCAGTTGCCTTGTGAAAAAAGCATCTTTGGGATAAGACAGGAGTCCCTCAAAGTGCATGACAGTTGCCATATCACACCCTTGGTTGTGGTCACACCCATAGTTGTGGTCAGCCTCATGGCAATGCAGACTCATCTGCAGCATGATTAAGCCAAACTCGTCAGATGTATCTTTGTTTTCTCTTGCAGGCTGCATTGTCCCTGCCAAGAAATCCTAAGAATAAAAATGGGCAAATACTGTGGGGCAGGATGACTGGTTCCATACAATAACAAAGTCAATTTATTCAAAGACCTTGTCCAGTGACCTCAAGATACAGGCCACTAATTGTCTAATTGTGACTGGGATGTGTGATTTCCATCTGAGTGCCCTTAATAATATTACCGAAGTATCCCACAAAGGGGCTATGTTTCTCAGCATGTTTTATACTTAAATAACAAAGAGCTTGTGTGATTTAGAGGCCTGAGCTACAAGCAAGAGAGGAACATGATTCTCTTTCAAAAGCTAAGTAGTTGGGCATATGCATATGATGGGAAATTGAAAACTGGACAGGAATAACACATGGATTGAACAAAGAAGAACAGGCCTTAGTTAAATATTCATAGTCATCATCACCATCATCAATATGGTAATTTACACAGAGAAGCTCAACATTATGGTTTATCATCATCATCACCACCACCATCACCTACTACTAGTATCATCATTATTATATTTTATCATCATCGTTTCGATTGTAGTCAAGATACAGTAATGCAAATGTCACATTTATGTTATTTAAAGACTGAAATAATCATTGAAACATACAGGGTGCTAACAACATACAGGGTGTGAAATATAAATGGAAGATGTGGTAGGAAGTCTTATTTTAGGAACTTTGGGCTGTCTATAGTATTATATGTAAAGAAAGAAAGTCAGCTCGGTTTTTAAGCACTGTTAAGTCCTGATTATACCAAATGTTTATTTTATTTTTATTTGTTTATTTATTTGATTTGTCAATCGCTTACAAGATAATAGGTATAAGTATATACATAGTTATGAATACATGAAATGGGTACATATAAGAAAAATAAAAGAAACAATAGGACAGGGACGGTAGGCACGTTGGTGCACTTATGCACGACCCCTACGGACCTCTTAGGAAAGCAGTGAGGTCAATAGTAGACAGTCTAAGGTTAAAGTTTTTGGGGTTAGGGGAAGAAACCACAGAGTCAGGTAGAGTATTCCAGACATTGACCACTCTGTTGCTGAAGTCATATTTCCTGCAATCAAGTTTGGTCCGGTTAACCTTGAGTTTGTATCTATTGTGTGCTCTTGTGTTGTTATGGTTGAAGCTGAAGTATTCATTGACAGGTAGGACATTGCAATGTATGATTTTATATACCATACTTAGATCAGACCGAAGACGGTGTAATTCAAGGTTTTCTAGGTCTAGAATTTCAAGTCTGGTGGCATAAGGTATTCTACAACGAGTAGAGGAGCGGAGAACTCTTCTTGTGAAATATTTCTGGACTTTGTCAACTGTGCTAATATCAGATACATAATGTGGGTTCCAGACTGATGAGTTGTATTAGAGTATTGGTCTAGCAAATATTTTGTATGTTCTAGTTAGTAGTGTGATATTACCAGAGAAAAAGCTACGTAGGATTAAGTTAACAACTCTTAATGCCTTTTTTGGCTATGTAGTTACAGTGGGCTCTAGAACATAGATCATTAGATCTAATTATTATTGAATAATCATTCCACTAAACTGATAGGGAGGCAGCTGATAAACAAAACCTAGCATCCATTTTAAGTTTGTGATAAAGTTTGCAAGCAGTGCACTGTGGGGTATCTAAAATGGCTGCAATGCCTGTGAATTGTTTTTTTTTTTAATCTAAGGCTGGAAAACAGTTTTTATTTAGATCAGAGCAATGGCAAGTAGCCTTAGTTTGCTTTATTTCCCTGACATTAGTTGATTATATCACATTGAATATTAAGGATTCTCTTTGACACATATATCATCCCTGTTGCTGTTTGCTGAGAACTTAGACCAGCTCAAATTCTGCTCCTCTCTGGTCTTCCCTTGCTAATCTAGTCTTGTCAAATTATCCCCAATTAAATGAAAGCAACATTTCAGGAGACAGATTACCCAATGACGCAAGCATACACTACAGATGTCTGTGTTCATACCTAATTAAATATAAATGGTTTAAACCAGGGGTCTCCAACCTTGGCAACTTTAAACCTGGAGGACTTCAACTCCCAGAATTCCACAGCTAGCAAAGTTGGCTGGGGAATTCTGGGAGTTGAAGTCCACCAGGCTTAAAGTTGCTAAGGTTGGAGACCCCTGGTTTAAAACACTGTTTAACAAGCCACAATATCCTGGATCATGGATAACTTTAAGACATAAACCTTGATTTGCAAACCACAGGGATTGGGATTAATTTTGCACTAACCCAAATCAAAACTCTACATACAGGTAGTCCTCAAGTTACAACTTACATAGCTTAGCTAGTTCCAAAACTCTGACGGTCGCACCCTGCCAATCACGTGGCTGTATGTTGGGTGTTCAGCAACCAACTTGCATTTATAGCAGTTTGCAGCATCCCTTGGTCACATGACCGTGTTTTATGGTGTTTTGGCAAAAACTGGTGTTCACTTCCAGTTTTCAGTAAAACCAGCCCACAGCAAACAATTGGTTTGCTTAATGATTGCTGCATTTACTTAATGACAGCTATCACGATTTATGACTTAGATGGGCAGGCTCTATTAGGGTTATAAGTTGAGGACTATCGGTATCCACACGATGACACAATGTGTTTTGAATTAGACACAGTAGTTTTCATTGAATAAAGATTGTTAAAGCAAAATGACTAGGGTAGGCCTTCTGAAAACTTACACATATTCACCAGTCCGAAGCATAAAATAGCCTTATTTACCACCCCATAGTACTTTAACAAGATTCTATGGGTGGTTTACAATGCCAGCATATTGCCCCCAACTATCTAGCTCCTCATTTTACTAACCTCGGAAGGATGGAAAGCTGAGTCGACTCAGGATTAAACTCCAAGCTGTGGGCAGAGTTGGCCTGCAATACTGCATTCTAACCACTGGGCCACCAAAGCTTTAAAAAGCATAACATTACCTCTTCCAGCCTCCGCCTCTGCTCTTTCTGCTCCTCGATCCTCTTCTGACGTTCTGCCAAGAGCTGCCTCTTGTGCTCTTCATTTTCACGCTGCTGCTGTTCCAGCTGCTGCCGACGGAGGGCCTCTGAGCGTTCCTTGTTTGCAAGCTGAAGTCGCAAAAAATCCCGCCTTAAGGTCGATTCTCCAGGCAGGTTTAGGATGGAGCTTTATCGGGGAGACAAACTTACATTAGTCCAGCAATACCTTTGCATTCAGTATGCAAAAGTTCTTACATCCCTCCCACTTTTCTGCTAGTTAACTCAACTCTTAAGATTTACCTGCGGCTTCCCGAACTTGGATATCTTCTTGAATATAGTCACCTGCTATACATCTTCATATCCTATACATTTTATATTCTATACAGCAACATATCCAAACTTTAGCCTTGAATAGACTGTTGAATCATAGGACTGGAAGAGACCTCAGAGATATTCTAGTCCAACTCCCTGCTCAACGCAGGAGACCTCTGGTCAAATGGTTGTCCAGTCTATTTTTATAAACCTCCAGTGATGGAACACCCACAGCCCCAGGGGGCAAGCTATTCCAGTAATTAATTGTTCTAATTGCCAGAAAATTTCTTATTACTTCTTGGCTGGATCTCTCTTCAATCCCATTATTTCTTGTTCTGCTTTCGGGTGCTTTGAAGAATAAGTCAACCCCGCTTCTCTGTGACAGCCCCTCAAGTACTGGAAGATATTTACTATGTCTCCCTATCCTTCTCTTGGATAGGACATACCTAGTTCCCTCAATTATTTTGCATGCCAGCTTGCAAATTTAGTATTTGCTAAATTATTCCTTGGCACCTTACAGAAAGCTCCCTTACTTGGTTTCCTCAGCAAGTAGAAGATTAAACTTAAATACCACATTCACTCACAGCGAAGCCAAGAATTTCAGGTGCCAAAATACTGTACACTCAAAAATGGGATTTGATTTATCCATGAATGGACTTATCCATAAATATATACAAATAGGTTTGTTCTTCAGCTTTTTAAAAGTACCTGTGAAGCATTGGTATATCCTGTATACACTTGTGTGTTAATTTCATCTGTGAATGAGCAGATGCTCAATTTTTTAAGCCAATGGTGAAAATTAAAATATATGAAAATGTTGAGGGTTGGCTTATCCTCAGGGGGCACATTTTTCATAGTATGATTTAACTATGATACCGGTTCCAAATTCAAGGTCAGCTTATCAGCTTACCCAGAAAAATATATGGATCTAAGCATCTGAAATATTTCATTTGCTCGATAGTTCTTCCATTTATCATTTATCTAGCTGTAAAACTAAAGTATTTTCTTGAAAATACTCAGGCTACTCTTTTTGAATGATCTATTCTGAAGGATTCTTTACTGCACTAGGGTGATGACACTCCAAGACAATTACATAGCCCAACCTTTGATGGAATGGCTGTATCATCTGCATATAAAAGAACTGATATGAGGTAGCTGGCAGAGAACTTAAATTCATAAGCATGGAGAATGTCCAGATTGGAAAAAGACCTAGCTAAACAATTTACATGGCAAATTGATCTTAATACCAATAGCATTTAGCAATAGCACTTAGGTGTAACTTCACAGTACTTTACAGCCCTCTCTAAGTGGTTTACAGAGTCAATATATTGCCTCCACCAATCTGGGTCCTCATTTTACTGACCTCACAAGGATGAAAGGCTGAGTCACCTTTGAGATTGTCAGCACTGAACTACTAGGAGTTGGCAGAGTTAGCCTGCAATACTACATTCCAACCACTACGCTACCATGGCTCTCCACTATGCCACCATGGTTCTCAATGAAAGTAGAATAGAAAAAGCTTTCTCCTCTTTATGAGGCATTCTATTATATCACATGGACTATAATGGACACCTAACATCAAAAGCGTCATCAAAAAAGCATAACAAAGAATGTTCTTTCTGCACCAACTTAGAAAGCTCAAACTGCCCGAGGAGCTGCTGATCCAATTCTGCAGAGGAATTATTGAGTCTGTCATCTGCAGCTCTATAACTGTCTGGTTTGGTTCTGCAACCCAACAGGACAGACACAGACTTCAGAGGATAATTAGGACTGCAGAAAAAACAATTACTACCAACCTGCCTTCAATCGAGGACCTGTACACTGCATGTGTCAAAAAGAGGGCTGCGAAAATATTTACAGACCCCTCACATCCAGACATAAATTGTTTCAACTCCTTCCCTCAAAACGATGCTATAGAGCATTGCACACCAGAACAACTAGACACAAGAACATTTTTTTCCTGAAAGCCATCACTCTGCTAAAAAAATAATTCCCTCAACACTGTTCAACTATTACAAAGTCTGCACTATTACTGTTAATCTTGTCATCACTCCTTGTCACCCATCCCCTCCCACTTGTGACTGTATGACTGTAACTTTGTCACTTGTATGCTTACGATTTATATTGACTGTTTCCTTTTATCTTTTCTTTTATGTATACTGAGAGTATTTACACCAAGACAAATTCCTTGTGTGTCCAATCACACTTGGCCAATAAAGTATTCTATTCTATTCTATTCTATTCTATTCTATTCTATTCTATTCTATTCTATTCTATTCTAATAAAATCCCTATAGTTCCTGTTTTAATATTATATCCTGAAATAGATATCACCCAAGAGATTTTCAGACATTCAATCCTTCTATTCTACAAAAAGTGGAGAATAAACAGAGAACAAAAGCAGGCGTGAGATAGTAGAGAAAGAAGAAGAGAAGAGGCCACAGAGACTAGCATTTCCTCATTTATTTTCATACAATTTACAATTGTAAGAACACAAAGTCTCTGCCCGTAATTACAGCTCAGCTGAAGTTTTATTTCATTGTGTCAGCTTTTGTGACTAGTTGATGCCCAGTGCAGAAATACAATGGAGACAATTGACAAAAGCTTTTTATGGACTCAAAATTCTATTGGACAAAGCGCTTGATTCCAACATGTACAAATTTCACATATGTGGGAGGACATAGTTTCATTCTCTCTCTCTCTCTCTCTCTCTCTCTCTCTCTCTCTCTCTCCCTCTCCCTCTCCCTCTCCCTCCCTCTCTCTCTCTCCCTCACTCACACACACACACACACACACACACAATATTTCTATACTCTGAGAGTTTTTCCACCCTGAAACAAGCTCTCCTCCCATGCAAGCTTTAGAGAAGGAGTTAGCAAAAATATTCATCCCTAGGTTTTTCCTGGAAATCATACCCAGACTGATCAAGTATTCCCTGGGACAGTGTTTCTCAACTTTGGCAGCTTTTTTGACTTGTGGACTCCATTACTGCCATGAAGGAAATTTTTTTTGCTGTGTATTTATGTCCCATCTATTGCAACCCTATTGGATGCACCCAAAAATGAGAGCAGAGCCAGAACAGGGACAAATGTACATTACCTGGGTTCTCCGGAGTCATTTTCTTCCTCTTCCTCTTCACTTCCACTGTACTCATATTCTGTCTCATCTAGGAATATAATTAAGGGTTAATGCACTCTTCGAAAACCACCTCTCTCTCTTTTTTTAAAGGCTGCTGAAGTTTGGCTGGAGAAAGAAAACTTTCTTTTCATTACAAATTATTTCAGGATAGATTTGTCTCAGCTTGAAATTCATCAACCATCTGAAAGAATGAATGAAATAGAGAAAAAGGAAGGTAGAGAGAGTTTGAGTGCACAGTAGGGTGTTTCTTCAAACAGGGCCTTCTATTGCATTAGGTCTACCAACTTCAGGTGCCTTCCTATTGTGTCAACTTCCATTCCTTGAATTTTCAAGCCAACATGGGAACTATAGGTATCATCGGTTGTTGTAAGTATATGGATCCACAACCATTTGTTTGAAGTTATGATGGCACTGAAAAAAGTGACTTACAACGGTTCCTCACATTTACATCACTGAAGCATCCTTCTGGTCCCATGGTTAAATTTTGGCCCTTGGCAATTGGCATTGATTTATGATGGTTGACACTTCCCAGGGTCACATGATTGCCACCTGCAACCTTCTTTGTTTGTTTCTGAAAAGCAAAGTCAATAAGGGATGCCGGGTTTGCTTAATGCCAATCTGCTTCCATTAACCATGGTGATTCACTTAAAGACCATGGCAAAAGAGGTCATAATTCGGGAGTGCATCACATAAGAACTGTCTCGCTTAGCAATAAAAGTTCTGGCTTTAATTTTAATCATAAATCAAGGACTACCTGTATTGAGAACAACTGGAAATTAGGATAATCTGTGTGGTTAGAAAATACTTTCCCTTGAAAATGTGTTAGAAGAAGCAAGTGAAATAGATTAGTGAGAGTTTATAGCAGAACAAGCCATTTTCTATCTTTATATTGTTATGCTGAAACTTCTGGCCACTGAATAACATTCAGGATTAATATATTTTTCATTCTGTATTTCCTCCTTTCAAATGTAGAAACCACTGTTGCCAAACAATAAAAGTTTGTGTTCATCCAATTATTTGTCATGCCTGGGATATAATCTTCCATTTTCATGACAAAAGATGTTTAACACCACTTAACATCTGCTTGATACAATTCAAAGGGGGCATGATTTGTGTCAGATAATAGAGGAGGAAGGAAATGGATGATCTCCTGACACTTTTATATACTGCTTTTACAAGAATGGAGATTACAATGTGTTAATTGCAAGTATTTTTTAGTTAGTGATGTTAGTAAACCAGAAATGCATTCACTAAGAAAATGTGTTCTATTAACAATCTGTCATATTATAGATTTGTTTAAATGACAGCAATCCTACTTTTTTTGAAATGTCTAAAGGATTATAGCATTAAAATTATAAAATAAGTGATGAGCCTATAAGTCAAACATATCTTCTTACTGGCTTTTCATACATGCAAATAAAATACTTTCTACTTGCTTTGCTTATGGGAACTAAGAGTAACCTTATAGGATTAAATTTTCCTAGAAAAGGTAGGTAGGCAGATGGTCTAGCATTAGTATCTATCTAGCATTAGAGGTGGATTTTAAAAACATCTGCAAAGACCACTGTGGGAAGGAGAAGCTAGAGAATAGAGGTGGTAATTGGTGCCTATAGACTGGGTGAAACAAGGTTCAATAGCAGTAACTGTGACAGGGATCTTGGAGTCTTAGTGGACAACCAGCTAAATATGAGCCAGCAATGTGCAGCAGCAGCCCAAAAAGCTAATGCAATCCTAAATTGCATTAACAGAGGGATACAATCGAGATCAAGTAATACCACTCTTTAAAGCCTTAGTAAGACCACACCTAGAGTACTGCATCCAGTGTTGGTCACCACACTATAAAAAAGATGTTGAGACTATAGAAAAAATACAGAGAAGAGCAACCAGGATGATTAGGGGACCGGAGACTAAAACATACGAAGAATGGTTACAGGAACTGGGCATGGCTAGTCTAGTGAAGAGAAGGACCAGGGGAGACATGATAGCAGTCCTCCAATATCTGAGGGGCTGCCACAGAGAGGAAGGGGTCAAGCTATTTTCTAAAGTGCCTGTAGGCCAGACAAGGAATAATGGACAGAAACTGAACAAGGAGAGATTTAACCTGGAAATAAGGAGAACTTTCTGACAGTGAGAACAATCAACTAATGGAACAGCTTGCCCTCAGAAGTTGTGGGAGCCTCCCATTACTTGAGACTTTCAAGAAGAGATTGGACTGCCATTTGTCAGAAATGGTGTAGGGTCTTCCGCTTGGATGGGGGGTTGGACTAGATGGCCTACAAGATCCCTTCCAACTCTGATTATTTGTAATCTGTAATCTGCCTACAAAGAGTTAAAGGGAAATAGGCAATTCCAGTGGGCTGATGATTTCAATCCAGATACAAAGTGGATAGTCATACTAAAATGGATTAGGCAGGTGCTGCTTGCCTGAAAGCTTTTTAATTTGTAAGTGGTCCAAATATTATAAATTTGTGTGAGAGAGAAAATGGGGGAAGAGTGCTAAAAAAAGTGCTAAAAAGTACATGCCATTACTCTGCTCAACGACTAATTCCTACAACACTGTCAAACTATTTACTAAGACTATATTACTATTATTCTTCTCATCCTTCCTATTACCTATTTCCTTTGCTACTTATGACTATAACTTTGTTGCTTGTATCTTTACAATTTATATTGTTTATTAGTTCCTAGTATGATTTATGTTGATTATTTAGTATCCTATAATTACCACTAAGGGTTGTATCTTATGATTCATGATGAATGTATTTATGATTACTATGATCATGATTTATCACTTATATCATTTATCACATATCATTATATCATGTACACTGAGAGCTTATGCATCGAAGACAAATTCCTTGTGTGTCCAATCAGACTCGGCTGATAAAGAATTCTATTCTATTCTATTCTATTCTATTCTATTCTATTCTATTCTAT